AAAAGTTTAAAAATTATTCTTCATCCTGAATTGAGCAGTTCCACTTCCTCAATAATTCACAAGTTAGTGACTAGCCTTTTATCGAATATTAATTACATACAAAACAACCTATGATTAGATTCATGCTTATTTATCTACCTATATGTGAACATGTGTTTATTTCATCTAGGGAATAAAAAGTCTATAGTCAGTCGTTTCAGTCATCGGAAGAAAATTGTTTTTCGTAAACATCATCACAGCGATACTATACACTAACAGCCATAAATTGACAAACACTCCCATAAGTTATAAAGCATTTACTTATTTTCGTAAATGCCGTTAAACGGTATTAGAATGGTGATTTTCCATCAGAAGTTGGTAGGTTTAGTCGAATAAGATGAACAGCAGGAAAGTGCAAAGCCTAAGTAAAAACGAGTGCCCTTTACTCAAAAAGTGTATTTTGTTATTCCTGAATCTACAGGATCACACTATAGGATTTGAAGTATTATCAGAAACTCTATCAACTTATGCTATCAGCAGATATCCAGGAGGGGAGAAATCTGCTTCTTCAACTTCACCCCTGGTCACGACTGCGTTCATGACAGTGTCAAGGTTAATGTATAAGGATGTCCATATACCGTTAAAGATAGAGAAGTTGAAACTTAAAAGTTAGAACACTTTGTAGCAAATAAAATTTTAAAGTATGGCAAAAACAGAAAAGCTTTCATTTCAAAAGCACATTAGATAAGACTTCCTATTGGCACATACTTACTTTTACTTGAAATCGCAGGAAATTGGATATGAATTTCTTCTGTGAATCGAGATAGCAAGAAATTATGCTGAAAATCCATTTTATTGTACCGAGTATTTCGAACAACAAATGAGGGAAAATTGATATGATTTACACTAAGCATCGAGTTGTGGCTCAAAGGCTTAGAGGGTTGGCTTTTAGCCATTGAGTAGTGGGCCAAAACGCTACCTTGCTTTCAAAGGTTCGAGCACGTAGATAGTATCATTAGTTCTCATATAATAGGTATGGCTCATCGCCTAGTGCAAGAATGTGCATACAATTGCTCAATGATTCGCTTTTACTTACATTAAGCTAGCGACTAATCATACTAGCTAATAAAGTGCTTAGTGAAGCCCATTAAGTCTCTTTGTTTTTATTCAGTTAACGTGTACACTAATACAACAACATCATAAAGATTCGAAATAAATTCTAGGTGAAGGAACATATACATATATCCCATGACTGCTAGGAACTTTTCCTTCCGAAATACATTTCAAAAAGTTGACTGAAAAGACGTTTAAGAAAGAAACGAATGTTCCACTTTTCTAAAGGCTCCAGAGAAATGAAAAACAGAACAAACCCAATAATAAATGAGATGGAAAACAAAAACTCTCTTTTATTTATATGAAAGCATGTAGTATTTCTTTGACATGATTTATGTTTTACCACAGTCCATACAAAAATATGATGTCTGCTTCACACAGGGATTTTGTGAATCCCGTAAACAGCAAACTGCATGTTTTTCGTAAAAGGGATGCATAAACAATGTCCATTTCTTGTATTTCCCTTTTTCCTCTGTAAATAACTTATGAAAATGACAAGTGATAAGTAACGGAGTCACCATACACTTCCAAGTAAGAAAGTAATAGATGTGCTGGTAAAATGCGATATCACATTTATTGTTAAAACCTGATTTTCACAGGAGTTAAGTGATCAGCCTATAAGAACGTCTGGGCTGTCTGACCGGATACCATGGTGTTATTCAAGATGGCATTCATACTGTGGCAAGTGATTACCGGTGAAATGAAGAAGCATGTTCCACCATGTTTAGGTTATTTTCACAATAAATGGGTAATTTCTTCCTCAAATGATATTTTCACTCCGGTGAAAAGTGAAAACACCGTTAACATAAAACTAGATTTCGTAGCAGAATCAGCAACAGAATAAGTAGGAGAGCAGTAAATGATGCTGTTGGGTTATAAATTTACATAAAACGAACCAGAACCAGGAGATGCAAAAGATCTACCGACTAGAATATTAATCACAGTCAGGTTGTGTAGCCAACACCTCATTATCACATCTGACAATACCAACAAGAAAGTCAGTGTTCTTTCCCTCCCCTAGTTTGCAACTGCACTAGTGTTAGCACTTTTAATACATCAGTCGCCTTCCACAAGAATTGTAAACACCATCTATCTTATCGAATCGAATCGAATTTCAAAGGAAAAAGATCTATGATTAGTAAGGTTTTGCAAGTACTGTGAATTGATGGGTGAACTGAATTGCTTATTGCATTACAATACCAAAATGCATACAGTGAATGTTTCGTAACATTACCGCTGAAGTCCCAAATCAATGGTTTCCTTCAGATCTAGTTTAACAAGTAGAATTTTAAAAATGGCCTACTGTTTATGTCATTCAAATGTAAATCGAGAAACTAAATGATTGGCAAAGTTATCTTTACTCAAGCCTCCAAGAAGAGTATCTCGGCATATTAAAGACTTGTTTAATATGGATAGGAAATTACTATGATGACACATTCTGAAAATATTCTTCATATACATAACGATTCTGTGCAAGTATTACCTGTTAACAATTTCATATATTTGTCAATGAATCATTCACATAGGAAAAGACACTCAGAGTTTTATGCACCGTCACTGACTGAGACCTACATGTATAAGACACTATATTAGAAGGCACGATTTTGGTGTCTACAGTGTGCCATTTTATATTGTTTGACAAACCAATGAACCATACTAGTAGACTACTAAAAATACTGTGTTGTTGATTTATGAAAATCCCGAAAAATCTTCAATAGAGCATTCATCCTTCAGAAAGTGACTGATCAAAAATCACAAGTAAAGGTAAAAACCAAAGAAAATTCATATACGGTACAGTCTTCAAGATAATAATAAATATGTTTAGACATACACTACGAAGCCGATTCAAATACAAATATTGTCAATGTATTTTGGAAACATAAAAGCACAATATTGTGAATATGCTGTACAATAATGAAATGTCTCCTGTAAAAACTTTGCAGTTTAAACCACGTCATGTGTAATGGTTAGATAATATAAGTTGTTGTTCATTTTTGGAAAGTTACATGACGCGAAATACCTAAATTCACTTGTATTCCTATAATACTATGTGTATAAGAATTCGATAGACTTTATTAGCGTAATACACAAATTTCATAAAGCTTTTCAACCAGATACTAAGGAGATTTAAGAACTGCTTACAAAAGTCTTAGAGTATTATTATTTTTTACCTGCAAACTGTAACGTTCCTCAGATTGTTGGGTTGTTATTTGATTATATATGTAGCTGTATTAGTTTCCCTGAGAAGGGTGATACGTTTGTGATATTTCAATGCAATCAGTAAAGATTGTGTATTTTAGCAGTCCATAAAATTATTGAAAATACTTTTATCCACCAGAGTTTTATTAGGGATAGTAACACCAGATAAATTCTCCCATAAAATAGCACTTGAACTGATCAGAATGAAGTGGTTTTCAATTATTAGCCTTGTTGAAATAATTAAAGCTATCAGAGCTACTGCTTAGCTATGATCTAAGTTTTGAAATGGTTAGTTTATTAGAGACAATATTTATGAAATGACCACTAAAAGTATACATTTAATGTAGGCCAAGGTGAGAAATGAATGGATTTATTACGCTTCATAAAATTTCAGAGTGTACGTCAATTACGTTGCGTCAATTTTCTTCAGTTAGTGAACTGAATAAAACCACCTACCCACCTATTGATTATGCAGACCTAATTGAAGAATATTATCATTACTAGGAAAATTATTTAAATGCTCACCTCTAGCTAACCAACTACTTTGAGGTCATTTAAAGTTCCTAAAAAAAACCATAAATCCTATGTCGACTGTGCTTAAATCTTAGAGTAGTGACATTTTTCCATCAATTTAGATGGATTTGTCAATATCCACTTTCTACAGAAGTGTACGAGTACAGGTGATAACACATATATGTCCTGGTTAAAGAAGTCAATAAATGCATAAATACTTCTATAGACAGATTAATTATGTAAAAGAAATATTTATTTTTAAAGCCTTTACGTGATTGTGAAAGAAAGCAACATCATAACAGTCAGGCATACCTACGTTGGATGGTCTTCTAAATACCTTAAAAATATTGCTAGCTTTGGTTCTATCAGAAAAAACAGTTGTTTGACCCTGGAAAACCGTTACATGAACCCTCCGAACCTCAAAAACAGTGGTTTGTGGAGGTGATGTTTACTGAGTTGAACTGCAGTTTTTAACTCAATGAACACAGAACTTACTTCCAAGTCCAGAGTTTAAATGGAAAACACTTCGTTTATAAACTGAACATTCTGAACACATAATACTACGCAGCAACTTGTCGTTTAATACTACTCGCACTTCTACAATACATTATAATTGATATTACCTGGTAAATACGTGTCAACGTCTGTACAATAACTTTCGGAGCCTACTCTTGACGATCACTGTATCCTTCAGAAACAGAAAACGTAGTGAGGTATCAGCAGGTGCACTGCAATGTATGAGATGGAGAAAAACGGAATGGCATATATATATATATATATATATATATATATATATATATATATATATATATATATGTAGGTTATTTCCAGGCCTTTCTGGACTGTACGTTATTTTATTGTTTCTGATATTTACATGTATAATGACATGACTTTCCTCAAAAATTCAAATTTCAGACTTCATTGAAGGGTCTGAATAATCTTTTGCACTCCGTAGCGATCGTTTACAACCATTTGGCCACATAGCAGGAATTACTATCTAACAGTCAAAACATATCGATGCGAAAGTGAATCAACTAGTATAGTAATAAGAGTAGACAATATCACAACAGAAAGCACTTTAACCATGTTAATTAAAGATAATTATTTCATCTGCATTTCAATTTCACATCATAAACATGCAGCAAAGAAGATTTCGCACATTGTATGGTTTTAAAACAAAACAAAATTAAACTTACAATTAATGATCACTAAACTTGCAATCGTGATGAAGAAAAATATCCTCGGGACTGAAAAATAAACAAATGAGAAAACATAAAAATGTAAACGGCTTCATATTTTCAAACATGGTAGAAAATGAAAGCCAGACAGCTTTTTCGTTGAAAAGTGATCCTAACTATCTAGAATATTACCTTTTCCTGTAACAAATCCATGATACTGTGAAGTGGGGTTTTGTCACTAATAACTCGGGTTATTTTTCTATGCGTTACTGTGAGGTGTAAAACAAGTTTGCCACTGTATTCTTCTGTTGATTTTTAGATTACTTTGTTATACATTCACTTCATTTAAATTGTCCAAGTTTGTACTGCAGTGATCGGCATTACAAAGAAACAGTTGATTAGCCCTTTTATGTCTTTCATGGTATTCTTAGATACAAATAGGTATGATACTACTGGAAAGAAAATAATCACAAAACTCCTTCGTTCATTTTGAGTCATACTCATGATCCACTGGAATAATACTTCTATACACAAAAGCTTTTGTTAATCAATGAATTTGCTTACAAGTCTATATTCCTTTGCCGCCTTTTATTTTTTTTCATGCATTTTAACAGCTGTTAGTATACTAATGTATATTGGTATAACTTAAGTTCTCAATGAAAACAAATTATTTTGTTTTCCAGGTGGCTTGGTTACATTTAACCGAATGTATGCTTTTACCAGAGAGATGAACAAAGATTAATGGATTCGATGGTAACTGTATCTTCAACTTTTTTCGTACTGCATCAGAGAAACATCAACCCTAATCTTATATAAACTGTTCCTCTGATGATAGGCAAGATTACAGTAGGGATAGCTGAATTCCAGTTACTGGAAAAATCACTAAACCGAGGGACAAAACCATGGGATACATTGTATTAGGTTTCAAATGTTTAGATAGTCACTTGAAAGTCTTTACTTCGTGTTTTATACTTGCCGACACTGATCTCTTTGACATTTATACTTTTCTTGAGACTTAAACTTTCTATGTATTTTGGACCTGGATAATGTAGAAAAAGGTAAGTAAACTAAATAATTTGCTGTCCAATCAGATTTTCAGACCTCATGCGTCTACCATGTGTGCAGGATTTAATAATAATAATAATAATAATAACAGCAATGAAGCCTAGGTAGCCCATTTACTAGGTACTATCCTCCAAACCAATTCAGGGAAGAGTATTGATAGTACCTGACTAGCTGAATCTCACTAAACGGAGCAAAGCATAAACATATGACTCGATGGATGTAATTAAATTCCACAAGTTGTAATACATTTCTCCAGCGTCACAGATTAATACTATCGATAACTTAAACGTTGGATGTTATTATTTTAACCTTTTACAAGCCAGTAAATTGGTTAAGGATATAACTTTTTCCACCAAACAACTGATATGAATGGTTATTTGAAGACATAAAAATGAGTCGTCATAGAAAAAAAATGAACTATTTATTAAAGGAAGAAGAACATACAAGTAAATATTTTGTGGAAAATATTTGTGTAATGTGTACAACTGACGGTATTGTCTGTGAATCAAATGCCTATTTCTAAAAAAATCGCATATTTCTCAGCTATTCAGTATATTTTCAAGCTTGAAATATGTTCACTGAAAATAACAGTATGAAGGGAATTTTGTTGGATCTGCTAAGAAATAACCTCACCATTGGAAACGCATCGAGTGATGTTATGTGAAAGGTATAGTGACGAAAATTTTTCTATATACACTGCCTAGCACATGTAACTGCATCCTCTTCCTAATAATCCTTATTGGTCAGCAAAGTTTACACTCAAAGAAACGTTAGAATTTATTGCCATGATCTTCTACTGACAACAAAACATGATTGATCAATGGTGACGACAGTGTACAGACGAAAAATACAAAGCGGATACATTTCCATATTCAGATTTACATGGAAAACAGGCAAAAATGTAAACGTCTTGATTTATATTACCGTAGTAGTAGTTGCTGAGAGAATGGATGGAATTACCATTGTAGATCTCTTTAGCAAAAGGTCAGTGATTACACTGTTATGTATGGAAACTAATGAAGCACAGGTTGGTTCCCAGAAATACAAGTCTATAATTGAAGTAGGTGTTGTTTGCAGATAAACAGAAAATAAAATTTTGCAAAATCTAAACAAAAAGGAGTCCAAAGAACTTCTTATGAAATTAATCTCCCAACAACATTAGGATTATTCGCCGGTGTAACTCACTGTATCTGATGGTATTCTGAGCTCCAGCAAATTGTTATACGTATTTTATGGTATGTAATACTATGGGACATTGCACATAATTCGCTGGTGAATGTTAATTCTTCATTGTGCTTAAGAATATTCATGAGAAGGGTTCGGAGAAGAACAACGCAGATGAATCATTTCTCTTGTTTTGGTATGATAGATGATTTATTTCTGTTAGAACCTTGCATCTCCTCTTTGAGGCTATGTGGAAAAGTATGTGAAACCTTCACATGTATTTTGTGCAGTAGAAGCTGTGACTTTGCAAAATGAAGTTGGGTTATAGGTTAGTTAGCTGGAAAACCCATCTAATTTCACTTATTTTCTTTTCATACTTATTCAAATGTTCCCAGGTATTTTTACCAGCTCCATTTGTCAAATGAAAATCATTCTTATTTGGTACAATCTATATTTAACCTTTTGTTAACAGTGACGCTACATTAAAATTCTGTGTTTATCCTTATCAGATGTTGTCACGTAAGTTTTAAAACCACTCTCATATTACTAAAAAAGCTTCGTAGTAGATTGCTTTTCTCTTGACCACAGTCTGAACGTCACTTCGCTTATATATTGTTTTATCAGTGAGGCAGTACTCATAAGTGTTCCACAGGTTTGACTCACAAGTTAGTTCATGAGTTTTCCTGTCGTTTTTGCTTCATATTCATCCTTAATTTTCATTCTGCCTAAATATACGACTGCAACAGTAATTACTTGGTATATATTGTCCTACAAGCTTGATTAATTTAAGGGTAATTGTTATCGCAAGGTAACATCATTTGAAGGGTGAACATGTTTTACCTTGACATTTAATAAAACAAAATAGTGTCGACCAATTATTAGGAAGAAAGGAACATTTTAGACTTATTGAATTTTCTTGATTATTTCATTCTGTAAACCTCTACAACCCTGGAGATATATTTCTTCACCTAGTGAATTTTACTAACATATATTAAAAACACAATAGACAAATAGAAGAAATGAAAAGTTAACTCTGTTTGTAACACAAATTCCTGTATTGTCTTTTGGTTATAACAGAATAGTCATCAGACAGACATTGCTGTTAATCTCTTCTCTTATATATCAAGTAACAGGACATAACTATACACTTTACTCCATGTTGTGCTTGCATGAGCAGTTGACAAGGTAATTTAAGCTGGGGATTCTTCAAGCTCCTAACATATTTCCATAGTATATCTGCAATCTCAAAGGAGATCCAGTCTTCTGAGACTTAACTCTCGACTCCATAAAAGCACCAAAGGTTTAATCAGGAGTATGATTACCATATGGGTCTCCATGACAAAGTATGAGTAAAATAAGTCTTAAATGTTTGTATATTGTGGATACTTTTACGACTGTGTTGCAACTGTATTTTCTGTTAACATTACCAAAAATATTTTATTTACTCAGTAACTCGGTGTAACCATTACTGATCTTACGACTGTTTCAGAAAAAAGGCTGACATCATAAAAACGTACTTTTTAATGTCTAATATTTTCAAGTTTAATTCCCAGCCTCGTTTAGTTAAATGTCGTTCACTATATATACGTAAACACGCCGACATTATTGACTGTTACTTCAGTCAGAAAATGACGTGTGTGAAAGGCAGCTGTTCATTTGTTATTTAGAAAAAACAGTAAAACAGAAATCTAGTTACTTGTAGTGATTAAGTAGACGTACCATACAGAACGTAAATAGTTACTAATCACGTACATCTCAAATACGGGAGTGTAGTAACAATATCAATTGGGAAAAAGCATTCACTTTTCAAATAATATTTTTTCGAAATGCCTTTCAACTAGAAGTTCAGTCTTTAGTGAAATAATACTGGAATCAACATTCTTACTAGTCTACGTTCCCACCTTTGAGAAATTTAGTTTAAAACCTGTCATTAAATGATTACTTAAACCCTTCAAGATATATTATATGTTAAACTCCTGATCTTTATGAGCTACTGACCAACAGTACGATTTGTAAAATCGTTAGGTATAAAAAAATAACGATGAAGGAATAAGCATTGACAATTTAACCACTTACAGGTTGATGTGTCGATCAAGGCCAGAATAATAGTAAGCACAAGAACAATGATTTCGATAATCATGCATCCCAAAAATCGGAAGTGTGATTTGGAGTTCCTAAAATACAATTAAGGTTCTTTAAAGTAACACTGGTAAAGGCTTTTATAGACAGAGCTGTTTCCATAAATTATGACGGACGCAAAGAGTTTATCGACAATTTCTGATATTTATAGTGTATGAAACAACCATTTTACAGTGCAGCTCCCAACGTATTATTCATCATATATTTTTAAGTTGGGAAATCTTACAAATTGTCCTGCATATCTCAGAAGGTCAAATTTATGCGAAGTGATTTTCCCGATACCCCTACGACAAAACCTTTTCACGATGCAATCTGCTTAGTGGTAGCTGGCATTGAGGGTTTTGGCTTATTAGCGACTTATTATTCGGATTTAAATGCACTCCAGTGATCGACGCGATTCTGCAACCAGCCTCAGCAACCTAGTTAGCAACCAAAAAGAAAACTACACCGTACTAAAATGTAACGTAGTATCGAGAAATCTATTTGAGGAGTGCATAGTCCAGCAGGGACCGTTTAATTTGGTCCCACATAATGACAGACAAGCTCACCTGCTTAACTAGTTCACTAGTTACTAGCCGGTCCTAAGCTCGGGTAAAGAGGGAAGGTTGGGCATAGGGCTAGCAACCCTACCCGTAGAAACAATCCAAACACTACAGAAACTTCAAAGCACAAAAAAAACATAAAAAAATAAAAACAAAATTATTCCTGTCTGGAATCGAAGAGGCAAAAGGACGCCGGTTGATGAAAGCTTTCGGAAAGCCGATTGGCCAATGTGTCTTCTCTCAATGAAAGCGAAAGTAAACGTGGGGACATGGAAAGTCCACAATATGTTTGAGCCTAGTAAAGCTGACCAGATGGCAAACGAGATGAGAAGGTATCACTTTGAAGTGCTTGAAATTTGCAAAAGCAGATGAAATGGGAGTGGAATCTCCAAACTGTCAACTGGAGAGTCATTAATCTACTCCGATATTGTCACACAGACGACAACCACAAGCACACTGAGTTTTCGAGTGGCTATCATGATATCCAAAACAACAGCGAACGCTCTTATAAAGTGGGAACTAATCTCCTACTTTGGGATCATGACAGCAAGATTCAACTCAATAGGAAAATAAGTAACAGTCATACAATGCTACGCTACGCATCAACAAATAATGCACATGAAGAGAAGAAGGAGGAATTCTACAGACAACTGCAATCAACACTGAACAAAACCCCACTCCAGTTGGCGACATCAGAATTCTAATGGGTCACATGAATGCCAGACTGTGAGCAGACAACACAGGAAGAGAACTTATCATGGGTTGAGAAGCACTCGGTGAAACCAACGAGAATGGAGAACTGTTTGCAGAAATCTGTGCATTCAACAATTCGGTGATTGGAAGCACTGTGCTCAAACACAAGGATATTCACAAAGCGACATGGATTCGATTTCACCAGATGGACACACTACACTAAACATCAGATCGACTTCATCTCAATGTGAAGAAAGTGGAGACACAGCTTACTGGACACAAGATGAAGAAGGGGAGCAGATGTAGGTTCACACCACTCACTATCTAGTATAAGGAACCTTCAAAATCAAGTTGAAAGCCTTCAAGGAAGTTGATGATAGACCACAGTTCAAGTTCAACATCCAGAACAGAAACTGAACTGAAGAATAAAAGCAACAAGGGACATCTTCACGTCAGCCAGTCATCAGGACAAAATGGGAGGCATTGAGCAACATCCCTGAAGGAACCTGTGGGGAAGAACACTGGAACTCTTCTAGAGAGACGTGGAAGGAAACCTGCATAACCGTATTAGGAAGGAAGAAGAAAGAAGACGGGACAAGGAATGAATCTCGACGGACACATGGAAGCTGATAGAGCAGGGAGAAGAAGATGGTGATGGTGAAGCAGAAGATAAACCAGTGCATGGATGCACAACGACAAGAGGAATTGAGTACAACGTATAAAATACTACACTGGACAAAGAAGTGAAGAAGAGTGCACGGAACGACAAATGACACTTCCACGACACACTGACAATTGAAACAGAACAGGCTGCCGGCTGGTAGGAGAGACAGAGATCTGACAACATTGTATCAAATAACCAGGTTGCTATCTGGGAGGACATCAACACAAATGAAATCAATAGAAGATGACGAAGGAAATCTAATTACTAAAGAGGAGAGACAAAAGAAGCGATATGCTGACCACTTCGAAAAGCTCTAGAATCGACCACCACCTGCACTTCGTCCAGAAATACCACCTGCAGCCGCTGAACTACAAGTGAACACAAATCCTCTAACAAAAGTCGAAGTGAAGTCGTGAACGCCATAGAGTTGCTGAAATGCGGGAAAGCAGCAGGACCAGATGGAGTTCCTCCAGAAGCATTGAATACAGACGCAGAGACATCAGCAGTGGACATGCTCACACCACTATTGCAGAAGGTTTGGAAGGAAGGAAAGAAGGAAGGGAAGGTACCTGCCCATTGATTGGAAGAAGGGTTACCTCGTCAAACTTCCAATCAAGTGCGACCTAAGTCTTTGCAAGAACTGGCATGGAATCATGCTCCTGTCCATCCCAAGCAAAATATTATGCTGCATCATCCTGGAGAGGCTAAAGGATGCACTGGATTCAAAATTACGACAGGAACAGGCTGGCTGGATGCGGAAAGTACAAATCATGTGCGGACTGAATTGCAACGCTTCGCCAAGGATCATCACTGAACAGAGTATAAAATGGCAATCAACTCTCTGCCTCAACTTCATCGACTTTGAGGAGGCCTTTGACAGCATCGACAAGTAATTTGGAAACTGCTTCAATACTATGGAATACCACAAACCCTGATGACAACAACTATATGAAGACGCCACTTGCCAAGTAATTCACATTGGGAAGCTCAGTGATGCTTTTGAAGTGCAGACAGGAGTGAAACAAGGTTGCCTACTATCCTCCATGATATTCCTGGTTGTGGTCAAATGGATCATGCAGCAAACAGTGGGGAGCAAGAAGAGGGGGATACGCTGGACCGCGGAAAAGAACCCAGAAGATCTAGATTTCGCCGATGTCTTGTGTCTGATGTCACACAAACTTGAAGATCTACAGGCGAAAACTAACAAGTTGACAAGAGAGGCGAGGCAACGAAGACGGGACTTCAAGTGAATATAGAGAAAACAGAGGTGATGAAGATACTCCACCAACAACAACAAACTCCAATCAGGATCAAGGGGAGAAACTTAAAGGAAGTAGCTTCTTACACTTATCTAGGCAGTACTGTTTCAAACACAGACGGCGGTGGCACAGCCGAGGACGTCAAGGCCAGCCAGGATCGGATAAGCAAGACAGGCGTTCATTAGTCTGAAACCAGTGTGGAGATCTACTGCACTGCACTGCACTGCACTGCACTGCACTTCACTCTGCATATAGCGTGAACAATATCCAGATTTTAAACACCAACGTCAAGTCAGTGCTCCTGTATGGTTCAGAGAATTGACGCGTTATGAAAGGCATTTCCAACAAGCTACAGACATTCATCAACAACTGCCTACAATGGCTCGTCACTGAAGCTCACATGGAGTGCCAGAAAGAATGAACAACAAGAAACTCTGGCCTGGCAACGAACCAACCAAGAATCTATCGCTGAACAAATGTGCAGAAGGAAGTGGAGATGGATTGGATTGGGTATACACTGAGAAGGCCTACTGGAGACATCACGCGTAAGGCCAGACCCTCGAGTGGAACCCAGATAGGAAGCGACGAGTTTGGCGTCCGAGGTGAGGGTGACATGAAGGAGAAGGTGTGAGGAAGAAATAAGAGTTTGTGGGCAGTCGTGGCGACGGGTTCAGAAGACTGCAGAGGACAGAGTGGAATGGAGACGTGCTACTGAAGCCCTATGTTCCATTAGGAACCCAAGGGACAAATAATAATAATGACTGACGCTAAGTTAAAAGGTTTCTTGGTTCCAGACAGAATTCTGTCAAACTACCATCACGACTATGATTTGAATCAGAGTTATGAGTTGTTGGTTCAAGTGGAAGAGCAATTGTTATTTGAAAAGTATTCTTAAAAGAGCATGAAATCAATATTACTGAAAAACGCACGTAACATGACTATTTTGAGCACATAAAACTCTAGTATGCTAACTAAAAACAAATACTACTACGAAATTTGTGGAGGATAATTCTCAAAGAAAAGGAATCGAGTCTCAGCAGTTGCCTTAATTTATACCAGAAATTTGACTATGCTTCGCCAATATATCACTGGTTTATTCAATTTTGACGTTGGCGTATGCGAAATGTCAGTAATGATAGGGTTGGAAACAAAGTATTTAAACAGTAGATATAATGATTGTATGATCGATATTAAAAATAGATACTTATTGTTAAAACTAGCATTCAAAATAATCGCTTCATGTAAAAGGTGAATCATTAGATCTGCATTCGACATTTTACAAAGACTATTTCAAGTCTTTTTCTGGGTCCTCTGCAGAAACCTCATGTCATAGACCACTGTGAACAACTTAACTGTTTCCTTACAAAACTAGGAACCTAGTGATAATTTGAAAATCCATTACAGTGTAATCATAATGCTACACTCTTTCCATCGTCATACTGAAAAGCATGGTTAATAATTTTGTCCAGTTTTCTGCTTGTCAGCAATTCATTAGAAGTGGAAAGATACAAAATGCTAGGGATTACTGAAGGGAAGTTAAAAATGAGTAACACTTTATTGGTTAGACACCTGAAAACACTGGGACTAAAGTCTTTTGTGTAACAGTGGAGTGGTTATAACTTAATAATAACCTGTCATGTGCAAGTGAACACCATTCAACACGAAAGGAAGAATGGTGAAAATGAACAAAAAATTCGAGTTACTGCAGATCATAGACCGTAGAGAGAAGGGTATGAGATTAAACGACAAATTTCCAATTTAATTCTAAGTGCATGATTCCACAAATAAATACAAAGTTTGTCTTAGGGCTCTTGTGTTCACTTGCACATGTAATAAGTCTATAAGTCCACTATCACAATTCAAGCCTCACCCAACATTACTGGTGCCAAGTTTTATCAAAAAACTTTCAATTCAGTACTACAAGACTTGACGTTAAAAATTAAGTGAATTTCCTATGCAAAATGAGAACATTTCACTTACATTGAACCACTCTGATAAAATGTATTCCATGCGGCGAAACACAAACTAGGGAAGTGTGCAGCGAGACCAAAATAACTTAGAAGATTAGTACGATAGTCAGCATTGTAACTTATTGTTGTGTTCAGTTTGAAATCAACAAAATACTAAAAGTGTTATTCAGTAGCTGGTTATTACCTCACGAGCGTTGATGAATACGTTCCACGGTATGAGAAATCCAATGCCATGTAAAAAAAGGAATATGTAAGCTAAGTTGTACCTGAAAAATAGAGTGATGCAAAAGTATCTTACCTGTCAACAGGCGCCAGTTTTGCCTGAGTCTCCATTAGTTGAGAGATTATTTATTGTCAGTTGAGGTAGTAGGTTTGAATTAAGATTGGAAGCTAGTCCTGAAGATCTGGGGAATGTAGGTTAGGACGTAAGAGGAAAGCATAAACGCGAGAAAAATGACAAAAACCACCTGAAAGAATAGTGGTATACTTTGTACATAAAAGCCGACAAAAACTAGTTTTTAGAGCCTTGCGCTGATAAAAGCTTAACCTTAAACATTTGAACTGTATAATTTTTCGATTTTTTTCTCGGAGTAAGAATTATACGGATTACTTGAGCATATACATATTCACAAGAGGAGGTGACAAAGTAGTATAGTATTAAGAAGAAAAGTTACTGCATATATGTTGATAACAGAAAGCAGCAACTGCTTTTCCTATGGCCAGCATTACGTATCCATATCAGTTATTTTCATTATGGACTTTTTCCTTCTTTTTGGGGTTTTCCCCATCAATTCGTAGTTACATTTCACTAAGATACTATTCCTAAGTACCTTTTCACATAACATTTCAAGAAGCATACAATCGAGCTTCTGGGGAACTGACGTTTAAGTTAAAATTAGCAGTGAGGAAATGAATGACACCAGTCGTGAAACAAGGACAAATTTAATAAATTACTTGAAGGTCAGTAATGACTTAATTTACACTGCTGTGATAATATGAAGGAGCCTGTGTATGCAGAGATGAGTAATGTCAAAAGAGTTTTCTTCAGGAATACGAAAGTGTTAAGCTGATTATGGAAGTGTCGTATATCTCAAAATTAGTATTATTTATTCATTCGTTTGCGAAGTTCTTGATATTAAACTGAAACTCTACAGTATATTTCCGAAATATTATTTCAAAAATAAAGAAATGGCCAAGTGTTACAGGTCATAAGATATGAAATATCGCTTAAGTTAAAACAGAAACAATACATTACCACAAGGAAATTCAATAATTTGCCAAATCTTAGGGTCGCCATTTGACCTTGAAAAGGGAAAGTAGCGACTAAAATCAGCTTTTGCTAAAACAGCTGCTGCCTTTTAAGGCAGTGAATTTCTTATAATTTTGACAATAAACGTAATTGCCGAAAAGAATTTGACAGAGCAAATCATTTTTAATCTACTTTTTAAGTCACACCGAAACTGAAGTGTGCACGCGGTTCGTGTTCGAAAGAATCATCAAGTTTAACCCAGCCGCTCATCCCTTGACAGTTTGCGAAGAAATATCAACTCCGAGGCGCTAAATCCTACCTTCAAGCTTTGTTTCATAATATCAAAATTTCCCGACTATTTTCATCCGGAAACTTAGATTGGGTAAAGGATGAGACAGGTGGCTCGACGGACGAAGACCACAACAAATCCTTACAACAATCACTTTATTCCCCGAGCATCATGAAAAACTGATCAGCTGCTTTCATAGGTTCGTAATGTGGCTTGAGGCTTTTTCTTTAGAGTGATCTAGTGCAGCACTTCTGAACGCGTTCTTATTATTTCAAATCCATTTCAGGAGAATGAGTTAGGACAGGTCTCAAATCCCAGATCATGCCATTTAGAGCAGCTGAGCATTCGAGGAAAACATTGCTCGGAAAGATCCATCTCTGTGCGACAAGTGTTAGGTTGACATAAAACTAATTTCCATCACAGCTTTAGATTTAGGAAATGAGAAAGTCAGATGAAGAGAAGCTTCCCCAACTAAAACGCTTTCAGGTCTACACCACTGTGTTTGAATGTCAGCCAAGCATTACACCGCGGGTGAACTCTCTCATGTCTTTCAGAATAGATGGTCGACTAACTGTAAATTATGAGAAGGTGGTGTAAAGCATAAGCACCTTGCGAAGTGTTGCTATCATCTATTGAATTCCTTAAAGTAGATGTCTAACAATAAATAATTCCCGGGAAGCAATGGCCTAGGCCTTGATGCAATTAAACATTGTTACTTGTCCTCACAGTTTCAATAAACTTGGTAAGCCGAAGATATGCGGTTAAGTACGTACGTGCGTGTTCTTCTGGCTAGTTAGTCGGAGCAGATAGGATTTTCAACACCGGTTGTAAAATATACCGTTCCACCTGCCTACTCTGTTGTGTTCATTCTTTTCCTCGCGGTCATGGATTTGCCGAAATTACAGATAACTGGGATTATCTGCCATACCTGTTGAGTTCACACAAGATCAAAGCATAAGCTGGTGAACCACTTCCTTTTTGTGCCTCGGTATCTGTCTTCAAATAGATTAGGAAACTACTCTAACGTTAGATCAGACCGGTGGAAATGACGTGAAAGCACAAGTTTGCTACCTCTGATTCGTGTGTTTTGACTGTGCCCTTGATGTGTATTCAAAAGAACGACTATTCATCGCGCTCGACCCCATTCAGTTTATTTGTATTATAATATGAAAGTTCATGTTTCGACAGCTGTCACCACTGAATTTCGTTAAATGTACAGCTCCTACAGGGAATAAATGCGGTCAATAGTCCACCCGTGATATGTATGAGACTCAGAGCTTTGGCCACCTCTACTGCCATATGGAACAAACATTTTTGTCATCCAGGTTTCCGTAGCACGACAGGCTAACGTTTCATCTCTTGTGGCAGGAGCAGGGTGAAGTAAACTGACAGGCTACTGAATATCAGGCAACTGTCCATCCATCGGTGCGGCTTCGTTGCCCTTCCGCGAGAATTGTGTACTCAGAAGGACAGTAGACACTTCTGTTTTTGGAGAGTGCAGTGCGACCAAAGGAGTTGCTGGTAAAAATTACTATGTAAATAATTACTGAGCTTCTACTGACAGCATCTCTAGCCCTATACATCTAGCTGAGGGATTGAGGCATGTTCTCTAGAGAGTAGGTTTTCCACTGACCAGGTGGAGCAGCAAAAGATTAGAGAGCTGATTCCCGAAAGGCATGAGACCAAACCGTATGAAAAATCTATGCAGAAAAGCTGCTGACAGAGTACTCACTAGGTGTATCCTGGGGTATTAAGCGAGATTCCTCTGTTTATAAAGCTAAAATACCCAATAAGGTTATAACTAATTAAGGTATTCCACCAACGGTGGCTTGTTTATTCATAATCCGGTAAGGCTTTCGGCTCCAATCCTTCCCCCGGACAAACAAACAAATCGGCATCTATTTGAGTTCGTAACTTGCGTTACATTTACACGTGATCTATTACACTGTAACTTTAACGTTACCAATCGTTCGGCTTAGTACTTTTGAGCACCAAAAGTTACGTTACTTTGCTCCCGCACAAAGTGGTATTTTATATCGGTAGTTTCCGCGGTTTCGTAGATCTGTCTGTACAAAAGAAAGACTCGGAGCATATATTGCCTCTTTTTCTCCAAAAATTCAACTTCCTGAGCGTCATACGCTTCTTCTGGAAAGTTAAAGGGACACCCATTTTGATTTACACAGCGGAACCCAAGAAACTACTACTGAGAAAACAGGGAAACAAAACGAGGACTGACTTAAAGGAAAGTTGTTTGTCTGTAACACTCAGTTAAGTTACGAACCAAAGCTGTTAGCTTCAAGACATTACTGTTTCGCAATATACGTTACCTGAAGTGTAAAAATATTGGTTATTTTACTTGTTCTTCGGTATTGACGAACCCAACAAACGTGTAACTACTACTGCCACACCATGGTTTGGCCTAACAAACGTATATGTGCTGTGCATAGACGTAAACCTAACCTTAGCGCCACAACTAAAAGAGCACGCTCACTAAGCGTTTTGACATGAAGCCCTAAGAGGGGTCCTGAAGTAAAGGTAGTCGATCTCATATCGAGGCCGTATAACACTTCGCGTAAAAACAAGGAGATTTGATAACCCTTCAGAAGTCACTACAAGACATGAACGCTAAGCTGCCACTGCTGCATCTTTGTCAGCCTAATCTAGAAGCCAGTATCAAAACCTCACTGAAAACAGAAAGTGCCCTAAATTTCATTGCTACAGAGGTAAATAAAATGATTATGTCCTCATACAATGTATTAGTGTACAACGTGCCCGACCACGAACCGATCAAACAAGTAAAAGCCTCGTCGACAGGCTTGTGACATGTCTTCTGCAGAATGCCAAGTCACCCGCCTCCGCAAGAAGTTGGGGAAATATACCTGCCCCTTGTTGTTCAAATTTAGTGGCTTTTACCACGCCAGACACCTTCTATCATCCAAGCAACTTACTAGTGTATCCATACCATATAAAAGTGTCAAACCATCACAAGACTTAACGCCCTGTCAAAGACGTAGTCGTACAAAAATACCAAAAGCTGCATATTCCAGTCAAGCTCTGGTACCCAAAACAGCAACACAATCTATTAGCGAACTGGTTACTGCACCAAAACAATGGAATGAGGAACACCAAAGCCCACAAATTAGCCCACCCACACACAGACGTGGTAGAGCCGATGGCACGACGGTAGGCTCGGACAAATCGATGAACTGCTCTCGAAAACAGAAACACTATCTCGTAAAGATGATCCCACTGCCTACAGAAGTGGAAGGCAAGTCCCCATCTCACCCCGTCACATGGGCCACCCCCAAACTAAGTGCTACGCTATCGACCTAACAAAATACTGAAGATATTACTGTGTCGTCAGCAGGTGTAACAGCCTATAAACATACCCAGCACCAGCCACAAGCACCCTGTTACCATAGGACCGTCCCGAAGCTTAGCGCGCAAACAGTTTAATCTACCCCCCACTTCAGCCAGTGCATAACCTATATGCATCAGATGGGCAGATGACAAAGAGTACAGATAGCACTAGAAACTCTCAAACAAACTCCACCATGCACCCACCCAGGTTAAATAAAGTGCCGAAGTGACAATTAAGCAGCCAAGCCAACAGACGAGAAACAATACGAATGGCCAGAGGGCCATTGCACCCTCGCAAAGCCACACTCAGGGAAGTGTCAAGCGTTTTTTCTCAGGCCGTCCTATTACCGAGTCAAATTACTACCCTCTAGGCGATCCACACTTCTTAACACTTCCGTGGTCACTAGCAAACACATCACTGTCCGACCCCTCGAC